AAATGCAATTATACATTATTACTTAATTTGATATTCAAAAAAGTCAAAAATCACACACAGAAGTACCAATTGATCAGCGGACAAAATCTCATACTCCGCAACAAGAGAAAATTCAAACTGAAATTTCACAGTTAAAATAGCAGCTGTTAACATTGGTAAATGTGCAGGATTGATAACTGACGAACTTAAAACAAAATCGATTTTTTTATAAAAGCAGATAAAAATAAAGGAAACCTGTCTTAAAAAAATAAAACATGAGGCAATCCATCAAAGACAACGCAGAGCAAGTTTGAAACAAATACTTAATAATATTGTTGATGACATGCCATACTTGAATATAAAACTTTCTAAATTCAATAGAGAAAAAAATGGTAGACCAGCTGTAATTGAAGATCAGCCAGATCTTCTTAATGCCATTGTTAACATCAATAGGAGCCACTGCTAGCGATCAACAAAGATTGCAGCAGTTATGTTCATGTAAAACACTTGATGACTTGAATTAAAGCCTACTAAAACTGGGTTATTGTTTATTGTGATCTGAAACTTATGCACAACTGATGCCTAAGCGATCAAACACACTTGAGGGAATACGTCACATTAAGACAGTTCCTATGAAATTGATCAGGACTGCTAATACAGCTCGTGATAGGCATATTAATGCTGGATTTACATTTGTATGCATGCAATACATGGATGAAATTTATTCAGTGTTTGGTCCAGGATTTATGCTTTTACTTAAGTCTAGACAATAAAGCTAAAGTACCATTAGGATTAGCAGTTGTAACTAAACAATCAATTTTGATGCATCTTGATTATCAAGTACGTTTGCCAGAACATGTTTTTTTAGTGGCTTCCAGACATAAGCTTATACCATCTGTTTATGCAGCTTGTATTATTTATCCAAACAAATTTGCTGATGCAGTGTCATATTCTGGCCCAACGTATATTGCTATTAGATCTGTGAAGCATGATAGCAGCACTGCTATTACTCATGGACGTGACTTGGAGCGTCTTGTTTCAATTGAAAATTTTAAGTTTTACATTAGTACTCCAAAAGGTTAGAAAAAACCTATACTTGTTGTTGCATGTGATGGAGGCCCTGATGAAAATCCAAGGTTTCCCAAACCATTGCAAGATTTATAAAATGGGATTTGGATTTTTATCTAACAGAAACTCATGCACCTCATTATTCAGCATATAACAGGCTTGAGCAGCATATGGCTCTACTGAGTCGAGAGTTAGCAGGATTGGTTTTGCCACATGATCATTTTAGGACACATCTAAATGCATCTGGAAAAACAATTTATGTTGATTTAGAAATTTTTTTTTTGCTAAAGCTGCAGAAACTCTAGCTGTGGTATGGTTGGATATAGTAATTGATAACTATTCTGTTTGTGCTGAATATGTTGAACCTACCCAACTGTCACCAATACCAGAGCAAGATTCAAAATGGATTAAAAATCATGTAAGACAAAGTCAATATTTTTTAATGATTGTTAAGTGTGATGTTCAATATTGCTGCAAACCTTGGTAAAGTTCCTGGAAAAATATTTTCCTCAACGTTTTTTATTAAGTCCAGTTGTAATGTCTCATGCTGATGAAGGAATTTTTATTCCTGAGCCAAAGGTAGCACAAAATATTCCTAAAACTTAAATATTTCGATGGAAGCTTCCTTTGATCTGTACTGCCCATCAATTTTACAACAAAAAATTGATCAAAGAACTTGCAAAACCTGCAAAATTTATCACAATTTACCACAACCTATACTTTAAAAGTCAAATTCTCCAATTCTAGCCAGTTTGTTGGTTTTAAAAGTTTCCTGTTTGCCAGTAAAAGCGCTTAAAAATCAACTACACAAATCTTTCAACTTTTTTGTTTTTATTTTTTTGTTTTACTTTTTTGTTTTATTTTTTGTAAATGATCTGTTAAATGATTGCAAAGTAATACACTTCACTGTCTCCTTGATGTTCAGAGTTATTCAGAGTCACCTTAATGTTAAGAGTTAACACTAAATTGATTGCTTGCATTTTTTTAGCTGAAATAATTTTCAAAAATTTAATTTTTATTTAATTTTATATTTATTTTATATTTATATTTATATATAATTATTTAAATTTTAATTTCAAAAATTTAATTTTTAAAAATTTCAAAAATCTCTAGTTTATTATATTTATTTAAAAAAATTTATTTAAAAAAATACCCTAGATAAGATGATGCAATTTTGTTATGTGACACTTTTTATATTCAAGAAATAATAATTATGTTCTCATACACAAAGAATTTTTGCATTCATATAAGATTGAGCACAAATATGTTTTCCTCGAAGTAATTATTCTCCTACTTTAATTGCAATACAACAACATAGGTGGAGGGTATGTTAAAAACTGTGACATTATTAAAATTTTGAAAGAGAATTTCCAGGCTGGAGAGAGTCAAAACATGTGTTTTGACCATCACAAGCAAATCGTTTTAAATATCACAAGAAAATCCAATAATTGTGCATTATCATTAAAACTTTCCCTTTTCGTAAATAACTAATAAACGTAACCAAGTATGTGAGTTGTTCCATTTATAAAACGCTTCAAACGATAACTATGAGGAACCAAATAAACGTGCTTATCTATTTAATTGGAACTAAAAACCCACAACATTTTAAACATGCCTATTAAAACTTATTACGTTTTTATTGTTAAATTTAAACTTCTTTTACTAATTTTTTATGTTCTTTTAGTAAAAAAAAATTTTTGAAAACCCCTCTCCCCCTATGAGTGTATGTATTTTATGGACAACCCCTAAGTACTTTTCAGTCTGTTTAATGTTTTTTTTTTATCACAATAGTTTCCTCTAAAATTGTAAAAATTAACATTGCTATCCTAAACATGATACAAATTATCAAAAACCTATTCTTCTGATATATAACACATGTAAAATATTATATATATAATACATAATAATACAATATAATAAATTATAGATGCAAAAATGTCTTACAACTTATAACGCAGTGTGGTCTAGTGGATTCTGCATTGGTCTAGTAGACCAAGGGTTCCAGGTTCACCTCTTGGTATTGATAATTATTTTTTTTTCAGTTCACAAAGGTTGTTTTTTTGTTGCTGCACACTTTTTTGCACTAACAAAAGTTCCCACCATATAAAGTCAAAGGGCAGAAGGTGTACTGCTCATAGACTGTTACAGCGGTAACAGTCTATTAACAGGCTGTAACTACTCCATTAATGGAGTGTACACACTAAGTAAGATTTAGAAGTAGTTTTTTTTACAATCAACATGTAGATACATCAACTGAGGGTTTTGGGTTGGTCAGATACTCTTTTAATTAAAAGAAAGTCTTCTATAGATTTATAACTAAAAAAAAAAAAATGTTGCCCTATAAAATTGAACCCCCCTCCCCTCATAACAAATCACCACAAAATCACCTACCCCCCTAAAGCGTGACAAAATTTATGAATAACCTCTACTGCGATGATTCACAGTTTTTTTAAAAAATATTTATTTCTCTCCCCAAGGCTGAGAAGGCTACTACAGTTATTTTGCACTATTTAAAAACTTGTGTATTAATAGAAACATCAGTGAGTTTAGAAAGTTTAGAAAAGCCATTGAAAATACATTTGAGTGCAAAGTGTTTGTTGACTTTGGATATGAGAAAACAATTCTCCTCATAGATTTGAGAAAACAATTCTCCTCAACAAACTGCAACACTGCAGTGTTAAAGAAAAACCTCTATCTTATCTTTGCTTTATTTTTGAGTTTTCTTCTTTGTAATAGAACACAGTTTCTTTTGAATAATGGAATCATTTTGGCACTAACTAAAGTATTAACTAATAACAGTGATCCATAAAGCTTGGTACTAGGACCCTATGTTTCAAATTTCGTAGCAAAAAAACAACAAACAAAACATCATTTATATATTATCTTCAAGACTTAGCAATAAAATTAAGGGGTAAGCAGATATCTGTTGACCAGCAACTTTAATTCAGATAAAACTCAATTTTTTTTTCAGCTATTCGTTATTGCAATAATATAGATCTGCATATATGAATGGTAATGTACTCAATGATCTACCCTTTGTCTTTTAGGATTAGCTCTTACTTGCAATCTTTCTTGGAAACCATATATCAAATTCATTACAAAATTAGTATCTGTCTTTTTCTTACTCCAGATTCTATTCTTTATCTCTGTAAATCTTAATCATTGTATGGAATACTATTGTCATATCTAAAGCGGATCATCAAATGATGCTCTTTCTCTTTTAGAGAAGGTACAAAAACGCATTGTAAATATAGTTGGACTTGCTCTTGCAGCAAACCTTTAACCATTGTCACATCGTTGTAATGTTGCTTTGCTTTTCTGTAAATACTAAAATGGACGCTGCTCTAAAGAGCTCTAATGTCATACACTAAAATTCATTCTTGTTACAATCTCAATTCATGTTACTTGTTATTCATAAGTCTCATCATTTTACTGTGATTATTCTAAAGCTACAAAATTTCATATTTTTCTAGTTTTTTTCCTCGAACATCAATTTTTTGGAATTTGCTCCCTTCATCTTGTTTACCTGATTGATATAACTCGCAATCTCAAAAGTCGTCTGTTATTTGTCATCTTGCTTTATAAAGTTCATTTTTTCTCTTCCAGTAACTTCCAACTCTGATAGTGGTTGCTTGCAGCCTTGTTGGAAGTGAAGATGTATCAAATGAAGTAGATCAAATCTATCTAGACCAAAATCTATCACTGCCTCTATATGATTAATATAAACCATACTTTTTTTCACTCATGTCAGATTACTTGTTTAAAGAAATCTTTAGTATACATAGTATTTCAAGCTTTAAAATCCTCTATTTCTTATCCAAAGTTCTTAAACTATGACTTTATTTAACCGTAAAATTGTCTACTTGTATAAAACTACATAAATTTATTAATCTTTATTTCATCTAGAGTATGGAAAACAAAAATAAAACAAAAATAAAACAAAAAACACTTACTACAGTTTTTACATAATCCATCGAACTTGTTTCACTAGAAAAATTTTCTAATTGGTAAGGTGGAGAGATGCAAATGTCCTCTAATGCAATAATATTTGTACCAGACCATCGGCAAGGAAATCTAACAGAATATTTTATAAATACATTAATGCAAATTATATGATAATAAAAAACAAATCACTAAATTTATCAACTTGTATATTCATAAAGTTTTAAAGTAGATTAACTCTTATACATTTTTCCTGATTTTAAAAGAAAAATTTAAAAGACAAGATAATGTAAAAACAACAACATCGATGAAGGATTTCATAATCTTTAATTTTTTATATATTCTACTTTTAAACAAAATGTCAATGATTATCTCGGTTACCAACTCAAATTAGTCATTTTAAGTGACTCAGTTAAATAATTACATTAACTAACTCAAATTAGTCAGTTAAAATGACTAATTTGAGTTAGTTATGGAAAGAGTTTTGTAAAAGCTTTATAAAACTAGATCTTGAGATTCAAGTTGTTTTTTCACAATCACAATCCCAATCCTGATTTGTTACTCTTTGTTTTTTCACAATCACAATCCCAGTCCTGATTTGTTACTCTTTGTTTTTTCACAATCACAATCCCAATCCTGATTTGTTACTCTTTGTTTTTTCACAATCACAATCCCAATCCTGATTTGTTACTCTTTTTTTTTTCACAATCACAATCCCAATCCTGATTTGTTACTCTTTGTTTTTTCACAATCACAATCCCAGTCCTGATTTGTTACTCTTTGTTTTTTCACAATCACAATCCCAGTCCTGATTTGTTACTCTTTGTTTTTTCACAATCACAATCCCAATCCTGATTTGTTACTCTTTGTTTTTTCACAATCACAATCCCAGTCCTGATTTGTTACTCTTTGTTTTTTCACAATCACAATCCCAGTCCTGATTTGTTACTCTTTGTTTTTTCACAATCACAATCCCAGTCCTGATTTGTTACTCTTTTTTATATTTTTATAACTTAGGTAAAAAAGTTATATTTCTAAGCAAATGCTGAAACAAGGTAAGATATAGGTCTAATAAATATAACAATTTTTCTTTTCAGTTTCAATAAATATAACAATTTTTCTTTTCAGTTTTTTCTTTTCAATTTCTATTAAATATAACAATTTTTCTTTTCAGTTTCAACAGCATGTTTCATTTATACAATAATCATTTTCAAGTATAAAACTGTTAAATACAAAATTTATTTAATATATAGTAAAAACAAACATTTTTATTTGTCAAACAAAGGAAAACATGAAAGGCATGCATATCATAAAATAATGGAAAATGTAGATAATTAGTGTAATATATATGTCATAGAGTGATAGAAAACATTGATTGGAGCTGAAGTGATAACATGTAATTAAAAACTTGTTCATTAAGATCAGGTTTTCCCACATAATGTGTTACACTTAGTTGATTTTTAAGTGATGTGAAGTTTGGGCGTAGTCCTATACTGAAAAAGAGTCTTTATTGCAATTATTTTTTTAATAAAAATGTTGATTTATCTAAGAAGATTTTTGTAATTTTAAATGTGCCTTAATTCTTTTACTCAAATGTTGAGTGGTTTGACCCACGTCAAACGACCACTCAAATGTTGAGTGGTCAACATTTGAGTGGTTTGACCACTCAAATGTTGAGTGGTTTGACCACTCAAATGTTGAGTGGTCAAACCACTCAACATTTGAGTGGTTTGACCACGTTTGACGTGGTCATTCAGCCTATAAAGCCGAAAAAGAGTCACGGCATTTTTTTCTTTTAAGAAAATGTGAATGAAAGTGTATGCAAATATCTAACTTGCGGTAGTGGTGTAGTCGTAGAGCGCTCGCTTCATAAACAAGTGGTTCCGAGTTCGATCCCCACCACGTCCCTGGTAGTACCGCGCTTAACTCGTTTCTCCGCGCAGCCGCCTTGAGGAGGTGAATTAAAATAAAAAAAAAAAAAAAAACTTATGTAAACTTTAAAATATGTAATATTACCAAGTTTTACAGTTTTATATAGTTTTTAGTTTATTAATAGAGTTAAAAACTATATAAAATAGTTTTTAACTCTATTAATAAACTAAAAACTATTCTTAGTCCAGATTCTATTCTTTATCTCTGTAAATCCATCATTGTATGAAATACTGATGTCATATCTAAAGTGGATCATCAAATGATGCTCTTTCTCTTTTTGGGAAGGTACAAAAACGCATTGTAAACATAGTTGGACTTGCTCTTGCAGCCAACCTTTAACCATTGTCACATCGTCGTAATGTTGCTTTACTTTTCTGTAAATACTGAAATGGACACTGCTCTAAAGAGCTCTTATGGTATACACTAAAATTCATTCTTATTACATTCTCAATTCGTGTTACTTGTTATTCAAAAGTCTCACTCTTTTACTGTGATTGTTCTTAAGCTATAAAAATTCATATTTATCTAGTTTTTTTCTTCGAACATCAATAAACAAAAGCATTATAAACAATACACCTTAGTTAATACGCTGTCATAGGTGTTGTTTTGACCCTTTGTAAAACAACACCTATGACAGCGCATTAAACCACTCAACTATCAAAGCTATGTATATAATAAAAAATAACTATATGATTGCAATTAATCAACACTATTTAAGTGGGTTCTCTAAATAAGCACAGCTTTATTTCATAGCATCTAATATAACATAATATCACAATAAGCAAGTATGTTATATGCAAATAATAAAAATCCACTTATATAACATTTTATACACGATATAAGAAGTTAGGAAATAAGAAGTCCTTTATACAGGATATAAGAAGTTTTGTTTGAACTGTTTTGTTTTAAATTTTTGTATTTATGTTTTTGTATTTAAAAAAATTGACAAGATTAAAAAAATCTCACTCAAGTGGAAAATTTAAAAATTTGATTTTAGATTTGTCATGACTTTCCCGTCTCTTAATAATTTCTGCTTGCTAAAATCATGTCATCTTCCTAATTTCACCATTTGATCAGTGTTAGGTACAAACGTCTATAAGTATAAACATCTTTAGCATAAGTTGAGTTTGTCCGGCGTATATTAAACGATTATATATAATATGTATATGGGAAAACTTTAAATTTTTATTTTAACAATCAGAAGTTTTTCTTACTATATGTATATGTTTTAGCTATTAATGTATACACCAAAAATGAACCCCCCAAAATAACACTGATGATAGTGAATTAAAAAACTTAGCGATTGAAGAAATGCGTCTAGGAGGAGTCTAAGGAGTTTCATATATAACAAAAAAAATTTTTTTTGCTTCCCCTGCTTCCCCCTCATACCTCGCGCCACTTTAATAGGGAGAGGGGGGGGGCAGGGCAGAGGTTACGTTAGTATCAAATTTTTTGTACGTAAATGTTATTTTTTAACATTTTAAACATATTACCTCTCATATTTAAATATTATCTTATAATTTTCTCGTTTGGCAGAGTTTAAAATAGCGTAAGTTACTGTTATAATTTACAGCTTAAGTTATAATTTAAAGTTTAAGTTGCAGTTATAGTGTAATGAGCAAGTATTTAACTATTAAATACTTTTTTTTGTGATTGTTTTTACTTTAACATGATACTTTAAAAAAGTAAAAGTAGAAAATTAAGAGTAAAAAGCAAACATTGCAATATTTAAACCACTTTAATTAGTCATAGAAAACTATTTAATACGTTCATGCTGATGATAAAACACGTGTTATTTTTAAAGAGTATTTAATTGTTATTGTAAAAAGCTATAAAACAACAATAAAACAAACTGCAAAGTTGTTTAAAAAATATAAAAAGCTTGTATTAATGTAAAGTAACTTTGTGACGCTGTTTTGTGCTGTTTTATTCAGTTTATATTAACCTTAATAACATAAAACGTGCTTTAAATAAAACAAAGCAAATAAATAAAATTATTTTAAATAATAAATTAAAACATTATTGGATTACTATTTATAATTTATCGATTCCTGATCTAGCGTACTAATAAAAATTTAAGTATAATTAAGTTTTTCATTCCAATGGTTTTAAATTGATGTTTTCATTTAATTTCTTTTATTCAAATTGTTTCCAATAAAAAGTGAAACAAAAAAATTTGGTTTAATGAATCGAATTTAATAAAGTATATGAATATGCTTAAATTATTTTTTTACAGAAGTAAAATAATTTATTAATTTTATTTTTTTATAATTTAATTTTTATCTTTTTAATTTTTAACTTTTGCAATCATTGGTTTAATATTTGCAATAGAATGTTTCTACTTTTAAAACTGTTTTCAAGAAACAAAATATAATTAACTATTCAAAACGTTTATGAAATTTACGATTTACGAAAAAAACTTTCTTCATTCATCAACCCTTGTTTTTTTCAAATTCTTTTAAAATTTTCCAATGTTTTTTTTTTTAATTTTATATTTCAATCGCAAAATTATTTAAATAAAAGAATTTTTAAAAAACTAAAATTCTTTTGCTCAAATAGATTTCTTTTTAAATAAAATTCCTAAAAACAACTTGCGTATTACTAGAAAACGTTTAATCTTGATATTGCTTTAAATACAATGAAAGTATAAAAAAATGGTACAGTGTTTTTAATATTCTATTTGACAATTTTTGTTAAAATAAATTTTAATTAGAAGCTTATATTATGTGTTAACAACGTATAAGTTATAAATAGAAACATTTGTATGGATTACTTTTTGAGTCTTTGAGTAACTGTAAGTTACTGCAGTAACTTAACTGGTTGTTTTGATTTATTTTATAAGTAAAGTTCTGCAATGTACTTTAGCCATTAAAATAAAGTGAAAAAAAAGCGTACATACTTTATGGACAACCCCTAAGAATCGCCAAAAAAATGCTAAATGAGAAAAAAAGTAAAAAAAGTAAAAAAAAATATTAAAAAAAAAAAAAAACCAATCACGAAGGTGTGAAAAGCAATCGCGATTCGCGATCACAATATGCTTAATTCGAGCCCCAATTTGATAGCTAAATGATTGCCTATTTAAAATTTAAAAAAATGATGTAGAAAATTTTTTTATTTTTTTGTTTCATTGCAACCAAATTATATTTGGTAACAATACAAAAATAAAGAGGTTGTGATGGCAACGCTTAATTTTCTCTTGT